AAGTAAGTTTAAATTTATAAAATTTGTTCTACATTCGTTCTATTAGTTTGGTGCATATGAAATGTCTGATTCGTAAGTGATTGTATAATGTATATGTCAGTGTCAATCTCAGAAAGGTGTCTCAATATTGTTGTATGGTCAACTTTCATCCTCATAGCAAGATCCCTCGTGGATACGGCAGGATCCGCTTCCACTAGAGCCTACAGGTCATCATTCTTCACAGACTTTTTGGGTCTTCCGCTCATTTTGCATGTTATGTTTGTCGTGTTATGTTTGTTTGTTGATGTGCATTTTGTTTTCTGTTTTGGGACTTCGGTGGTTGTTGACTTCGGTGGTTGGCAACACAAACAGCAATTGATCATTTCACTCGACAAACGTTTGGGAACTTTTCATTTTCGCTTCGCTCCCAACAACAACTGAAACGTTTCCATGTATTTTGGTTGTAACTGAGAACTTTTCGATTTCGTTCTGTTTGCGCTCATGAGTGCAAGATATACAAAACGATAAGATATACAAAACGAAAGAACTTTATGTGTGGTTTCCTTTTGTTTCGTTTTGTTCTTTCGAAATGTACGGTACGAAACGATTGCAAACGTTTCATATAGTTTATTTTCATACTATGGTCTCTGGCAATGAACAATACAATTATGAATGAGGTTATGCCAAAGGCAAAAGTATAACGAAAACGGGGAGACAAACGTCCGCATGTAAAGAGAATCCGACATTTCATACGCACCAACCTAATACATTCCAAGTAAGATAGAGAGTTAACAAGTCTAAACAAGTATAAGTGTACCGTTACATTGTTAGTATTTTAAATGTTTTTGCTTGGTCACCCCATTGTAGTGGTGGCAGTTTGGCAAAACAAATGGAGGGCAAAACAAATAGGTGCAAAAATTATATATGTAGGTCCAAGTTTTGAAAAGATTCGCGCCATTTTCGATATTCGGTACATAGTAATTTGTCCCCAAGGAAAGATTCAAGGACTTTTGAATGCACATCAATGGGGAGATCAAGCAAAACCCCTCAAAATATTGACAATGGCGTGCTACTATATATATAGTTTTGTTATGATCAAATATCATACTAATATATGCAGTGGTGGTCACGCAATTAAAACATTAACTGTGGAAATACTTATACATAGTGTGCAAATATAAAACTATTGCATAAAATTTTTCCATAAATGACGGTTTTTATAAAAAACATCGACCTTGAAATGGCCACATGATTAAAACATTGTGTAATTTTTTACTTTACTGCTTATTTTTGAAAATATGTTTCGAAAACTCCTTAAATTTGTTAAATTATATAAATTAAGTACCGATAAAATCATCTATATTAAAATTAAAAAAAAAAAACAAACTGTAAGATTTATCAAAATTGGCTACAATTTGTACAGTACCCCTAACATTCGAAAATCAATTGCTGGAATTTGTAGAAAACAATAAATAATTCTTAAAATAAATAAATATTTGAAATAAAAACCTTACAAGTGAAAAAGCGTTAATTTCGGCCGGGCCGAACTTTGGAACATCTTATTAGGGAACATCTTATTATTTCTTCCAAACGTCTTAAACATAGTTCAAATTCAAAGATGGGGAATATCGGTCAACTCCTTCTGGAACCTCCACACAGGGGCTAGGTCCAAATGCGGCTATATTTCATTATCGAACCTTACGTTATAATTTTGTACATTGCAGAGTCCTAGAACCAAACTCAAAACGCGGAACAAATCAGATAAAATACCGAACAAATTTAACTATATTAATAAATTTTTTGGGGAAATTTCGTACCTATTATGAACTCAAAATACAAAATAACAGCTAATTCGGTGGAAAAATACGTTCAAAACCACCAAAATACTGAAAATTAGGAGGTACCGTTATATGGGGTGTACCAGAAAAATGGCCTATATTTATAATTTTTAGTGGGGAGATTTGTTACCCAAAAAAACTCAAAGTACCGAATTTCAGCGAATTCGGTTGAAAATACAGAAAATTGGGGGGTACCCTTATATTGGAGCTATGCATAAACGTGGACCGATATATCCCATCTTCTAACTTGACCTGCCTTCAGACAAAAGACAACCCTATGCCAAATTTCAGCACCCTATCTCAATTCCTTCAGAAGACGGACGGACGCAGGGACATGGCTAGATCGTCTTAGAATTTTACCCTGATCAAGAATATACGTATATATTTTATAGTGTCGGACATTAATATTTCGATGTGTTACAAACGGAATGGCAAAATTAATATACCCTCCATACTATGGTGGAGGGTATAAAAATGGGGTTATATGGGGACTACCCCAAAAAGGGGGCGAATATTAATAATATTTGGTAGGGAGATTTGTTACAATATACGACACCAAAATACTAAATTGTAGCTTGCTTGCTTAGTTGGCTTGTTACAGAACGGTTGTTACAAACGGAATGACAAAATTAATATACCCTCCATACTATGGTGGAGGGTATAAAAATGGGGTTACCCAAAAAGGGGGCGAATGGGGACTACCCCAAAAAGGGGGCGAATATTAATAATTTTTAGTAGGGAGATTTGTTACAATATACGACACCAAAATACCAAATGGTACCTTGCTTGCTTAGTTGGCTTATTACAGAACGGTTGTTCCATTAGCCGAGCTTAAAAAAAATTTGCAAGCGCGTCGGTCTTGTGCGCAAATCCACCAATTTGGAAGGCCACGTTACAAGACGTTGTTTTCTACTTGGTCTTTCCATCTAATTCGTGGCCTTCCCCTTCTACGGGAACCATCAGTAGGCTCGTTTTTATATGCCTTTTGAGCTGGGGTATTCTCATTCATCCGCACAACATGGCCTAGCCACCGTAGTCGCTGCAGCTCAATACGACTGACTATGTCGATGTCCGCGTATAAATTGTAGTGCTCGTGGTTTATTCGACGCCGATATTCACCGTCGAGGCAGATCGGCCCGTAGAGCTTTCGGAAAATTTTTCTTTCAAACACCACAAGAGCTGCATCATCTGCTTGCGCAAGTACCCATGCTTCTGATCCATATAATAGCACGGGTAGTATCAACGTCTTGTAAAGTGTGAGTTTGGCCTGGCGGGAGGTGGCCTTGTTTTTGAGTTGTTTGCTTAGACCATAGTAGCATCGATTGGCCATCACAATCATTCTCCGAATTTCAAAACTGATATCATTCGTTTTATTTATGGCGGCACCAAGGTCTATAAAGTCTTTAACTACCTCAAAGCTGTAGTTCTCAAGTTCTACAGTTGGTCCGAGTCTACTGGACGCCTTGCGCGTTGATACCATCAGCTTGGTCTTCTAGCCGTTTACTGCCAGACCCACTTTGGCAGACTACTTTTCAATTTGTTCAAAGGTGGTTCCAATCATTGGGCATGCATTCATCTAGCCAAATTGTACTAATCAGCTGGTGCATGCTTCTGGCCACCAGTCTTGAATAGTTCGGCTGGTAACCCATCGGCTCCTGCTGTTTTTTTGTTCTTGAGCCGATTAATTGCTTTTATGACCTCATCTTGGTATACACTCTATACCATCATCTCTTATTGGTTCTGGGGTATCTTCTTCACCGCCACTATTTGATAACAGAAGATTTTCAAAATGCTCCTTCCAAATCCTAAACACGGTGTCTATATCTGTAACCAGGTTTCCTTCTTCATCCCTACAGGAGGATGTGCCTGCATCAAACCCTTCGCTTTGGTGTTTTACTCGTTGGTAAAATTTCCGGACTTCATTCTGACTCCTGGACATCTCGATTTGCTCACGCTCACGTTTTTCGTGCTCGTACTTCTTTTTTCTTAAACCAAGTTTCTCCTCTCTACTTTTCTCCCGATAATTCTCCATGACGTTACGTGTTGCTACTGTCTGCAGGGTTGCCCTATACGCTGCGTTTTTCACATCAGTAGCATTACGACACTCCTGATCGTACCATGGGTTTCTTGGTGGTGGTTTTTGGTACCCAAGTGTAGCTTTTGCAACAAAAGAAGTGATGGGTGAGTTGAGTAGATGGGTAAGTTGAGCGGATGGGTAAGTTGAGCGGAGTAGGCCTCAGCTATCTGTTGTGTTTGCAGATTTTCACTCTACGTTAGATCACACCTTTGCTGCTACATTAAGACGGGTGCATATCTTGGCTGCCACAAGGTAATGGTCCGAATCGATATTCGCTCCTCGGATCGATCGGACGTCTAAAATACTGGATGAATGCTTCTGTCTATCACAACATGATCAATTTGATTTCTCGTTGCTTGATCAGGAGAGATCCACGTGGCCTTGTGTATATCGAGATGCTTGAATCTGGTGCTGCTAACTACCATGTTTTTGCTGCCTCGAAGTCAATCAACCTCTTGCCGTTGTCGGATATTTCTTCATGAAGGCTGAATTTTCCGAAGGTGGGGCCAAAGATATTTTCCCTTCCGATTTTTGCATTAAAATCTCCTAGCAGAATTTTAATGTCATGGTCAGGGCAACGGTCACATACTGTTTCTAGGCGCTCGTAATATATGCATTTGGTCTTCGGTCGGAGCAGGGGCGCAAATGAGACTGATGTAGAAGAACTTCAAAATGTGGTGGCAACCCTGATACGGAATAGACGTCATTTCAGTGATTTGATTGTGCTCTCCTTAAAAAAATAATTTTTGTATACAAAAACATTGAGCGGTTAATTTAAACATAAAGAAATATCTTCAGAGGCTGTGTTTTTATTTGTGTGTGTTGAAGTATGGCTGGAAAACAACGCAAAAGTCTTGCAAATAAAAAGAAAAAAGTTATGTGTTCGCATTGTAAAACTGAAGTGTTGGAAAACGACGACTTCTTAGAATGCGATATATGCAAAAAAAACTCTCCACTCTCAGTGCACTCAACTGAATAAAGTGGAAATGGAGAAACTGTGGAAAGACGACTCTCTCCCTTTCAAGTGTCAATACTGCGCTCCGAGTAACAATGATAATGCAGATATAAAAGCTATTCTTATGGAGATGAGAGACTTGAAAAAAACAATGAGTTTTATGTCATCTCAGTATGATGACATTTTAAAAGGTGTGAAGAAAAATACAAAAACAATCAAATGCTTAAAAAAAGAGAATGCAACTCTCAAAGAGGACGTGAAAAAGTTGCAATCGACGGTAACGTTTTTAAACAAAGTACGTTTGCAGAATGACTGTGTTATCAATGGTATTACAGTTGATGATAAAACTAAGCCAATTGATGTTGTTATTGCCGTAGCAAATACCATTGGAGCAAAGATTGTCGAAGATGATGTAGAAGATGCATATTTTTTGAAAAAGAAAAACCAAGCAAGCCCAAAAACTGTTGTTGTTAAATTTGTTAACAACAAAACCAAGTTGAAATTTATGCAGGAGAAGAAGAAATTGAGAGAACAACTAGAAACAAAGTCAGTATACATTAATGATTTTGTATCTAAAGATACAATGGAAGTTTTTCACCACGCAAAATCCTTAAAAGCTGTTGGGTACAAGTTTATTTATACACATGGAGGGAAAGTTTTTGCAAAGAAGGATGAAAAATCAAAACAGATTCGGTTGAAATTGATGGGTGACGTTGATGATCTTTTAAAGCAAGTGGTATCGAAAGGCAAACATGAGCGCAAATTAATTGAGGTTGAGTTAAGCGATGATGATGAGGAGGAGGAAGATTCAGATGATGAAGAAAATGATGATGAAGATGGGTTTCACTCACTGATTGATTTTATATACGTAGTAATACATTTAAAATTCCACTTAATTTAATATGGGTTCCAAATATTTTCAAAATGTAGATTTTTATAATGAATATGTTGTTGAAAATAAATATGAGAACTGTCTTAATATTATATCTGTAAACGCTAGAAGTGTGTCATCAATAGAAAAATTTAATAAATTTAAAAATGAGATATATAATCTTCAGAAATTACCTGAAGTAATTGCAGTCCAGGAAACTTGGTTCAGCAGCCAATTTTTAAATATTTACCGAATTGATGGTTACAATGTCGTCAATTGTGACAGATCAGATGGATATGGAGGTACGTCGATTTTTATGAAATCATCTCTAAATTACAAATTATTATTTAATGAAAGTGAGAACAACGTTGATGTTATAGCCATTGAATTTCCTGGAACTATTCTATACAACTCGAAATTAATATTAGCATCGTGTTATCGATCCCCAAAGTGCAGTGTGGGTGATTTTATTAAGAAAATGGATACTGTGTTGCAACGTTTGAATTCAGGTTTTATAATTATTTGCGGTGATATGAATGTTGATTTCTTCACTACAATAAAACATCAAAAATCCCTGATTTATCTTTTGAGTGCTTATAATATGTATTCTTGTCATGATCATATTACGCGTCCTATTTCTAAAAAGAGCATAGATTGGGTATTTAGCAACTATAGCAGCAATATTGTGGTTCACAGTATAGAAAACGAATTGTCGGATCATAACATTCTAAGTTGTTTTATAAGAAGTAACGTATACCAAGAGGATTTGCCCGAAATTATTAAAAAAGTGAACCATGCTAAGTTTACAGAATATTTGGACACCAACTTGAGCATGTTAACGGCAATTGATGATTCGTCTGAACTTTGTAAAAAGTTTGTTGACATAATACAAACAGGTGTTTGTAAAAGTACAGAAGTTACAACGAAATTTGTTAATAGACGACAAAGTATTGCTCCTTGGTTGACAGATAAACTGGCCTCTTTGATTGAACATAAAACAAAGTTGCTTTATTTGAGACGCAGAAGGAAAAATGATCCAAGTATTAGAAATCAGTTGAAGCGGATAAGCAATGTTATCAAATTTTGCAGCAGAAGCCTAAGGAACGAGTTCTATAGAAGCAATATAAGCTCATGCAACGGTGACGTAAGGAAAATCTGGCAATTTCTAAACAATGAATTAGGTAGAAGAAAAAAACCACTTGGAGACATTGTCGATGGGAATGGAAATACTGTAACAGAAGATATTGAAAAAGCCAACAAACTGAACATGTATTTTGATCATTCGGTTGAAGAATTAAGAGAAGGCATGCAACACCATAATGACGACAATATTAATGTTTTCAGGACACTTCCAATGGAAACCGGTCGATTTTCTTTACAGTCAGTTGATAGAACTCGTATACTGAATGAAATTGAGGCGTTAAATCCAAGGAAAAGCTGCGGACAATATACGGCCATGGATGTTGTTGGTAAGGAAATCCGAGGTAACAGATGTATTGCACAGAATCTTCAATAGTATGATTGCGACCGGAAAATAGCCTGACATATTGAAGGTTCATAAAGTGATACCAATACCCAAGAAAACAAGTTCGAATAGTATCACGAATTTTAGACCTGTTGCTGTTTTATCAGTGCTTGACAAAGTTTTCGAAAGAATCATTTCTGAGCAGATAACAACATATATCGAGGAGAACAACATTTTATTTGCCAATCAATTTGGTTTTAGAAAAGCCTGTGGGACTGATGAAGCTGTATTTCATATTGTTGAGCATATTTGTAAGGAACTAGATTCCGGATTCAAAGGAGTTGCTGGAGTATTTTATGATTTCACCAAGGCGTTTGATCTTGTAGATCATACGATATTAATTAATAAATTGGAACGTATTGGATTTGCACCGGATACTTTGTTGTTTTTCAAAAACTTTTTGGACAATCGTTTTCAGTTTGTTGAAGTCGGCAACACAGAAAGTAGCTGGGTAAGCGTGAGAAATGGTGTTCCGCAAGGAAGTGTTCTCGGTCCATTATTGTTCAAACTTTATATAAATGATTTAAAGAATATGCAGTTTTTTGGTAAACTTGTGATGTATGCTGATGATGTGAGCCTATTTTACAAGTACATGGATGAGAAAGTGCTGCAGGTGCAAGTTGCATACGACTCATGCTTATTGGCCGAGTATGCCAGGCTAAATAAGTTGGTGCTAAATTCGTCAAAAACTAAATTTATTCATTTTAGACCTCACATAGGTGGAGATGTTACGACCGTGTACATAGATGGAGTTCCTGTTAATGAATCAAGCTCGATTAGATATCTGGGTATAACTATGAGCAATAATTTGATGTGGAATTCTCACATTGAAAATGTTAAAGCTAAAGTTTCTTCTGCAACAGGGATTCTGCGGAAGTTTAATCGTTTGTTGAGTACAGATAGCAAGCTATTGATATATCAAGCATTGATTCACTCTCATCTTACGTATCTACCAGGAATATATGCCTATAAAAACAATAGATCGATAAAAGAACTGCAACGAGCACAGAACACTGCATTAAAAATTGTTTTAAATCTACCACGGCGTTATTCTTCCCTGCAACTTTTTAGACGCAAACTCAAAACTATTCTGCCGATAAGAGGATTATATATGCAGCAAATATTAACGTATGTTTTCAAGTCTACCAGGAACACAGGTGTAAGATCAATAGAGTTTGCCCGTAATTTTGAGAGAACTGCAAGAAATACGCGTCAATCAGACCAACTTCATGTTGTCAGGTGTCGTTTTGAGACCACTAAGCAGCGGATTGGTTTTGCTGGGCCAAGTGAATACAACAAGTTGCCGCTTGAAATAAGAAACTCAAATTCTATTTCCTCTTTTAAAACTAAATTGAAAAAATATTTATTGACAAAAATAGACACACTTCTTTCGTAATTACCTTTTTTTCTAAATTTCATAAACATAATTTTATATAAAATGTAATTTTGATGGTTGCCAGTTTTGCCCCTATAAAGCTTATTTGGCGCTGGAGCTTCAAAAGTAAAATGTATAAATGAATTGCAATAAAAAAAATAATAATAAAAAAAAACTTCGCTTTTATACGGATTATAGCAATTCGCTCATCTACTGGAGTGAATCTGGAGATGAGATCTTTTATTCTCCTGTTAACCATAAATCCGCAGCCATATTCATGTCTCGTTTCATGGCAGCTATAATACAGGGCGTAATCGTCTGATTTACTTACGCCTGTCCCTTTCCATCGCATTTCCTGTACTTCTTGAGTACATCCGCCAAAGCGAACACTGCGCATGTTCTTTACAACGGTCGCACATTCCAAGTGCAGATTCGCATATCGTGGTCCTTTATACGTTTGCGGGAGTCGTCATTAGGTGGGTTTAGTTTTCTTAGCTTTTTCATAGTAGTTTGGGTTTTCCGAGAGTGAGCAACTAACCTGACGCCTCAACCCATTTTTTATAGTTCTTATGGGTGAACTCGCGGCACATATTAGCTCCCTATTTCATCGGGTGATGAGAATAGCTCCACAGGTAGCTTCGCTGGGAGGTCAGTGTCCACAACTGAGATGAAAGAGGGACCAAGATAAGCCTAGACTTCGCCATGTTAAAGTCAATCAGAGCCGTTGCTTGGCATCTATCATCCCCTACACCACCCAACCAAATTGCAGCAAATGCGGTTAAAAAACGCGATCAAGAACCTCAAAATACCGAAAATTGGGGGTTTTATAAACACCATTATTTATGAAAAAATTGCATGCAATAATTTTCTATTTTCACACTAAAGTGTAGTACATCTAAGTTTTGTAAATAATAAAAATTTAAAAATACTTCCAACGAATCGAGGGCAGATCAAAAAACTTTTACCTGTGTTGTGTTGTTAAGTGTAGGTTAAAAATATAACTGAATTTTCATTCTTTAGAATAAAGTTTACAATGTTTATTTAAGATTATTTTGACACTTTATGTAATTGCTTCATATTACAATTCTTCACTTATTCTAATTCTGTTTGCATGGCAATGTGGCAAAACAGTCTGGGTTTATTGCATTTTGTGGTGTTAAATGAACGTCTGTTCGTTGATTTGAGGAAATACTGAGTTACCAAATGAACGTATGATGTATGAGAATGCTGAGTTAGCACCTCCCCCTAAATTTTGAGCGTCATGGTTCGGTTTGAAATATAAGATGCAAGAAATTCTATTTATTCCAGCCGAACTTACTTCATATAGTTCTAGCATTTATTTCAGTATTTCTGTGGGCTCTGATATGTCAACTTACGATTGCTTCGTCTTGCTTGTCGACTGTCTTAAGATCCGTTGCCATCGTTCTGGAATATTTCACTTTATACCGCGAAACAGTTGTCACTCAATGTTTCCTGTAGCTGTCCAAGAATAACGTGAGAAGTTTTAATACAATTCGTAACCGATGGATTCAAAGTTTCGACGAAGTTACAACGGACAGTGTTTTCTGTAATACCATATATGTGGTTCAGTTATTACATCTCGATTCAAACGTTTTAATTTGAAATTAGAATTCTTATCACTCAAGGAGTTGTTAAGTCGTAAATGGTCTGTTTAAATTTTCCTTTTGGCTGAACCGTATAGATAGTTCCGTAGTTACGTTAAAGTAAAAACAATTGCGAGTATTTATTTTTCACTACATTAAACATCGCATAGCATTTTGCCGTGCCCTTTTTGGATTTGTAGAGTCTCATTATCCTATACACACTTTTTTCCACGAGCTGTATTGAGCTGCGTTTTCCGAAAATTCCCATAAACTTCGGACCAGGACCGGAATCGTATCCATATACGAAATATCATTTCTATAACGTTCTTCTATTACCTGGTCCGTGCCGAAAATATCAGCGTTAGGACTAAGGTATTGCCTAATGACAATCTGACATTAGTAATATTTTTTGTTATGTTTTTACTTAATTGATGTTATTATTCCTTTTTAATTCTTCCTAAAATACTTTATCTTAACTTCCAATGCAATAAATGTGTGTGGCCACATTATCCTGTTCTTTTGTATT